TTCCCAGACGACTACGGCGGGTACGAGCCCCTGGAGGGGCCGGGGGGCGATCCCATGTTCCCGGATCCGTCCCTGGATCCCGAGGGGCTCTGCGAGGGCCCCCCCGGGCTGGGGAAGGGCCCTGGAATTCCCGGCATTCCCGAGTTCCTGCCGTCGGCGCAGCGGGCGCTTTTCCTGCGCATCCAGCACAAGCAGCACGAGGACGAGGAGAGAGCCCGGAGGGGGGGAGAGCCCGGGAAAACAGAGCGGGACAACGAGGAAGGCAAGGAGGGAATCCTCATCCTCATCCTCATCCCTGATCCCAGTCCCAATCCCTGAGCTTGATCCTGATTCCTGATCCCAATCCCTGAGCCCTGAACCTGAGCCTGAGTCTGATCCCAATTCCTGAGTCCGGTCCCTGAGCCTGAGCCCTGAGCCTGATCCCAATCCCTGAACCTGAGCCCAGTCCCTGAGTCTGATCCCAATCCCTGAGCCGGAGCTTGATCCCAGTTCCTGAGCCTGATCCCAATCCCTGAGTCTGAGCTTGATCCCTGAGTCCGATCCCAATCCCTGAGTCTGATCCCGATCCCTGATCCCAGTCCCTGAGGCTGATCCCAGTCCCTGAGCTTGATCCCAGTCCCTGAGCTTGATCCCTGATCCTGATCCTGATTCCAGTCCCTGAGCCTGATCCCAATCCCTGAGCCTGAGCCCTGAGCTTGATCCCAATCCCTGAGCCTGATCCCAATCCCTGAGCCTGATCCCAATCCCTGAGTCTGATCCCAGTCCCTGAGCCTGAGTCTGATCCCAATTCCTGAGCCTGAGCTTGATCCCAGTCCCTGAGTCCAATCCCAATCCCTGAGTCTGATCCCAGTCCCTGAGTCTGATCCCCATCCCTGATCCCGATCTCTGAGCCTGAGCCTGATCCCTGAGTCCGATCCCTGATCCCTGAGCCTGAGCCTGATCCCAATCCCTGAGCCTGAGTCTGATCCCAATCCCTGATCCTGATCCCAATCCCTGATCCCGATCCCTGATCCTGATCCCGATCCCTGATCCTGATCCCGATCCCTGAGCCCAATTCCTGAGCCTGAGCCTAAGCCTGATCCCTGATCTCTGAGTCTGATCCCAATCCTTGACCCTGACCCCTGATCCCGATCCCTGAGCCCCCCATCCCGCAGTCCTGATCCTGATCCTCTTTTTTTTTGGGAAAACCCGGGAATATTTCAGGGCTCCCTTTTGAGAACCTGTTTTGGGTTCTCTCATTCCCTCTTTCCCTGTTCCCAGGCGATCCCGGGAACTGGTATTCCAGTTTCCTGGGACTTTGGGGGGTGAAATCGAGGCCGGGGGTTCCCTGTTTTTGGGAAAACGTGGGAATATTTCAGGGCTCCCTCTTGAGAACCCGTTTTGGGTTCCCTCATTCCCTGTGTCCCCATTCCCAGGAGACCCCGGGAACTGGTTTTCCATCTTTCCAGGAATCCTTGGGGTGAAATTGAGGCCAGAGCTTCCCTGTTTTTGGGAAAACCCGGGAATATCTCATTCCCTCTTTCCCTGTTCCCAGGCGACCCCGGGAACTGGTACTCGAGCGACGAGGACGACGGCGGCAGCAGCGTCACCTCCATCCTCAAATCCCTTCGCCAGCAAAGCTCCGGGAGACCCCCCAACAACAACCCCAACAACCCCCCCCGGGCCCCCCCCCGCGCCCCCCGGCTGCAGAGACCCCCCCGTCCCGCCGACCCCCGGCTCCGGGACCCCCGGCTGGCCCGGAATTCCGAGCAGCTCCCGACGGATCCGGGCCCGTCCGACCCGCGGTTGGCCCGGCACGGCCCCCCCAGGGCCGATCCCCCCCCTCTGCCCCAAAAAGGGCCCCCCGAGGAGGAGGAAGGGGAGCGGCTGCTGCGGGACAAGGCCCTGAGCATCCCCCTGGAGCCGCTGCCGGGCCATTCCCAGCGGGATCCGCGCTCCCAGCTCCAGCAGTTCAGCCACATCCGCAAGGCCGTGGTGCTGCCCAAGCCGCCCTTCGCCCGCGGGGTCCTGTGGAGCCCCGAGGACCTGATCCCGCTGCCCCTGCCCAAGCAGGACCCAACCCCCGTGGCCCTTCCCGCCGCCCTCCAGGCGGCTCCGGGATCCGATCCGCGCCTGATCCGGGCGCCTTCGGATCCGCGGAGAGCCGGGGGAGAACCCGGAGCTGCCCCGGGATCATCAGCATCCTCCTCCTCCTCTTCCTCCTCCGCCGCCCTGCCGGACTTCGAGCTGCTCTCCCGCATCCTGCAGACTGTCAACGCCTCGGGGGGGGACAAACCCAGCGACCCCCGCGTCAGGAAAAACCCCCCGGCCGACCCCCGCCTCCAGAAAGCCGCGGAGAGCGGCGGGAAAGAGAGCGGGAATTCTGGGAATTCCGGAGATTCCGGTCCTGCCATCGCTCCCTACGACCCCCGGCTGAGCTGGGGAGGGGGCGGCCAGAGCAGCGTCCTGAGCAACATCAGCCTCTACGACCCCCGCGCCGCCCAGAGCCCCGAGGGGGGGAACACGGATGGGACCCCCCCGGCCCAGAAAAACCCCCCCCAAAATCCCGGCGGGAAAAGCAAGGAGCCGCCGTTCCTGCGGCGCTCGGCGCTGGACACGGACACGGACAGGGCGGAACCACCCGACAGGTACAACAACAGCTACAACCGACCCCGGCCCCGGGGAAACAACAACCCAAACAACAACAACAACCCCGAGGGGGGACCCCAAACCCCCCTGCACAACCCCCAGCCCGCCCTGCACAACCTGCCCGTGCCCCCTCCCCTCTACGGGAGACCCCCCAAGGCCGCTGGAGGGGGGGGAGGGACCCGGCCCGGAGCCGGGAGCCCCTTCCCGGGAAACAGCCCCGCCAGGGAACCCCCCGAGGACGCGGCGTCGTCGCTCAAGGAGGTCTTCAAGGGCTTCGACCCCACGGCGTCGCCATTCTGTCAGTGAGGGGGCCGTGAATCACCCCGAAATCCGGCCAAAAATACCCCAAATCCGGCTGAAAATACCCCAGATCCACCCAGAAACCCCAAATCCACCCCAAAACCCCAACCCGGCTCAAGGGCTTTGACCCCACGGCCTCACCTTTCTGTCAGTGAGGGGGCCGTGAAATCCGGCCAAAACTACCCCAAATCCAGCTGAAAATACCCCAGATCCACCCAGAAACCCCAAATCCGGCTGAAAATACCCCAAATCCACCCAGAAACCCCAA